ACTTATCGAATGAATCGAATACAAACTCACTGACGAACCGAACACGAGCTGTTCGCGAACAACGAGCTTTTTTGACAGCCCTAGAGACAACCGATAGAAAATATTCAGCAATTTGCAGACGTCCATTTTCATCTTCAGATTTTTCTAAGCTCATGTGCGTCAAAAGTAGTGCCATGCAGAAGGAGAATGAGTCATGGAGACTTAATGAAGTTGGGTTATAATTGATAGATACCCTAATCTTATCAAATATTTGATGCTTCCTCACAAAGAAGAACATATTCTTTATTCATTTTGCCACCGAATAGGTCTGATACAACATCAAAAATGTTAATTTTGTCCGTCGAAGGTGGAGAAAGCATTTCTCTCTCGAGTCTATCATATAATGTTAAACTAGTACTATTTTAATAATAGTCTATCACATATTAAGAATTGGAAAGAGTCCTTTTCTTTTGAGGGAGACAATTAGAAAGTGTCATTTGTTTTTAAAAGAAAAGCATGTCACCAATCAGCATGGACCAATACTAACTCATTCAGAAGATGACGCCCGAACCCTGATGTCCACTATCACTAAATCTTGAATGGCAACACATCATAAAACTTATTTCTTATTGCATCAAGTCAACCCCTATGACTCCTATGACAAACTAAGTTTACCTTACTCATATACATCAATTCAATATTAAGTCATATTTTTAGTCTTTGATAAATTCTTTTCAACAACTCTCTATGTGAGACCGACCTAACTCTCAATTATTATTTTTTTGTGTGTGTGAGAAAACCTCAAAGGAGACATGGGTCATTACATTTTAAACCTCTAAAATATTCTTCAAAACTACAAACTGTAGGTGTCGAGAATACTTGGATACTTACTCTATTTATAGTTTAACTTCCGAAGTAGCCTCGTACTCCATATGATAAAGAGAATTATCTCGCATATATATATATATATATATATATATATATATATATATTCTTTTCAAATGAATATTTTATATTGTTACTAGTAATGTTACAATTCATACAAAACCCTCATAAGTATAACTATTAAGATCTAAATAATAAACCTTAAGATGCAACTACTAAATGATTAAAAAAAACAAAATGACAAATGCATCTTTTAAATATGAATGCCATTGATTCAATAGATCCTTAAAAAGAAATGAAATTGAGAGAAATAGCTTAGAAATGGCTTCAATCATATAGAATAACACCAGTTTTTAGAGCTATCATAGAGGTCAAAATTAGGTTATGCATATCTTTTAAAGCAAGGCATTTTAACATTTTTTTTTTTGCCATTCCTTATGCAAAAGAAATGAAATACTTAAATATTAATGCAATAAGTCATTTTTTTATTACTCCACAAACCCATGAAATCACCATCAAAGCCTCTATCAAAGTCATATGTATCAGAGCTTAGCAAGAAAGTTGAAGTATAATTATTAACAATACACACCATAACACTATTGTTACTCATGAAAGGATCCATTGACTGATATAGATTAGGAATAGTGGTAAAAAAAAACAACTGATGTAAAATGATTATAAATCTTAGCACTACAATTGACTTTGTAACATTATGACCATCTGGCTTCATGATTTTAATCCAAATTAATCTTAGCATGAAATTATGACCATCTTGTATTAAAACCTACAATTATAAATCAAATTAGGGGCTTTAGTCTGTCACTCTAAAGTCCTATAATTCTACACCTTTGAAAAGTTTATTTCTCTATTTATTTGCACTCAACCCCATGAACTACATTCTCATTCATGAAATCAATATGTGATTCTGACAATTTGTTGGCTGAGACAATACCATCTCAAATCTTACATGTTCTCACAACAGGTATTAACATCTTAATTGATCAAATCAAGAAGTAAATGAAGTGCAAGGTTTCAAATCATCACAACTTTTTCTAACATTGACGTCTAATACTTCACACAACAACTTTTAAACACTTAATCACTTACCATTTTAAAGAAAAAGATAAAGAAAACTATTCAAAATTCATGGAGAAAACACAACCACACATGAGTTTAAAAGTAAAAAATCATGCACACAAACAAAAAATCTAGATTAAAAAACCAAGTATAGTCACAAAGATAAACACTTATCTCAAATCCTCTCCACCAAATGTATGAAATTCCTTTAAATTCTCTTCCTTCACTCACAATACAAACTAACACTCAAAATAAAAAGAAAGTAACCGACAATGGCGGCGGCTGTTACTTGGATGGATGATGGCTATAAAATCCGATGGATGGTTGGGCCCTTGTCTTGATAATTCAAGTCTTCTTTAATAAAATCCAAAAGGTGTCTTGGTGTCCCTTCAAAATGTGTCTTCATTCAATGAATCTTCTAGAAGTTGCCTCCTCAAATACCAATTGAATGAATTTTTGTGTCCATGGGGTACATGGGGATTAGGCGCGAGCCTCTGGTGCTTGGGTGTTAGTCCAGGGCGCTTAGGCACCCCAGTT